CCAAAATAAATCTGCTGTTCATGTATACCCTGGGGAATAAGAAGGACTATTTTTTTTTTTTTTTAAAGCTTGCCATAGATAAGTTCCAGAGTAATTCAGATAAAAACTAAACTTAGAAGGAAAGGGAAGCAGGGGTGTGGAAACTCATCAGGATGAGTGTCCTGAACATGAAGCCTAGCAAAGAAGCTGACAACCGATTTCTGTTCTCGGAAGTTCTCTATATGAATAATGTTACATCTTTCACATGCTCCAGTCTACATCTGTATTTAAAACCAAATAAATTATGCCAATGATTTTTTTGTTTGTTTTTAAGCTTCCACTAAGAAGAAATGTTAAAAACAATACATCAGGTAATTGGGAGACTTCTTAAAATCGAATATGTGAGGGATTCACTGCAAAATGAAAACAAAAGAATGTGCTCTTACGGCCATATCATGTGAGGGCTAAAGTAGTTGATGATTTTCAGTGGCATCCATGCATGATTCCTGTTGGTTCCACAGTTCAAACTACTTACAAGTTGCTCAGTGCAATACTGAAGTGCTTCCTATCTTGCTATTCCATTCTAATTCTTTGACAGGAAAAATGGGAGCTTGCCTAAAATCCTCTCTTGTTTCATTTTCTTTCATGAAATCCTGCCCAGCTTTCCTTTTTAACTTTGTCACATTGTTTGGATTAGGACAGATTCAATTTTTAACAACCTCCATACCAGTAAAGAGAGGCACAAGCCCAAAGGGGCTTGTCACATGTAGTTGCTACGAAAGAGCCAGCTCGGTTGGGCTGGAGTGTGCAGCGACTGGTAGTGTTTATTCTGCTATTTCTGTCTTCCAGCCTCTAATCTTTTCAGTATTTTGGGAAAAACAGGGATCTTACTGACTGAACTCTTTAGAGGATGAGGATTATAAACATTTTAATTTATCTTCGTTATCTGTAGGCATTTGTGAGGAATCTCTGTCTTACCTGGTATTCCCCCAGATGAGAATCAAGATTGCTCTGTCTACTTGTCTTGACTTGTAAATCAGCACCCCTCTTTTTTTTTTTTTTTTTTTTTTTTTTTTTTTTTTAGTAGGAGCTGAAGATCCAGTGAGGCTGTACTGATACAGTCTATTTTCCCCCGTCCCCCTATCTTCTATGTGAAATTCAGAAGGCAGCTTGGTTCCATTTTTGCACGGTGCTTAATAATGTAAGACATCTTTATAGTGCTCTAATATGAACAGCCACAGTGGTAGATTAGGAAAAACTAACCAGAAGAGTTAGATTCATTCCCTTCAATAAAGTGATTTGAAAGGATTTATCACCATGCATTTTAAAAACATAGCCTTGGCTTCCCTTTTCTACAGCAACTAATTTTTTTCAGGTAGGGGCACATGTGCTCAGTGTTAAACAGTATCGTAGCATAATAAGGACATTCTGAATAACATATTTACAGAGGTCATATCTGATGGTGGCACTGCCCGTTACAGTAATAAAAGTGTAAAGCAAGTACCCTTTTTTTTATATTTTACAAATATCTCTTTTCTGTCAAAGAGCTAATACCAAGTTTTCAGAACTTGGCCAAGTGATATGTATTTACAAATGTAATTTCTTACTGCTTTCAAGACAGTGGTGAGCCTACTGAATAATAAAGCAGTATTAGAATTTTAATTTCTGCTGAATACTGTTTTATGGCATTTCTGTGTCAAGGCCTATTGAGAAGTTCAAACCTGCATAGTTTTCCATCAAGTAGCTCTTGGCGCATACTGAAAATTATTTAAATATATGTAAATTTATGACGTAAAAATTAGGAAGCAACTGTGTGAAGGTTGCTCACGTAGTTAGTTCAGCACTTGTTGCATCTGCATGTTGCTAAAGCCTCGAACTACGTCCTTGTACACCATTCACTCTGCAGGAAACCTGTCTCATTCGGTGCCAAAGATCGATATCTCATGTTGCAAGGAGAAGGTGACACAAAGAAAACACAACATTATTTTTTAATTTAGGGGATGGCACTGTGTTGCAAAAGCAGTGAGTTCTGCTCCCTCATACTGTGTGCGTGCACGGGGGGTGAACTGAAGGGAATGTTACTTCTGACATTTGCTAATTTTTTTTGAATGCTTGAATTCTAAAGATGAATGTATGTTTATTGTAATTTTTGTATGTGATAAAAGGTGCCTTAACAGTTAGCCATTAAAAAATTGAAATTATTTTCAAAATGGCAGAGGAAGTCAATACTTCAAAAGTGGAACAAATCAAAGCATAAGGTATGCTTTTTGTTGTGTTCATTTGTGTCACAGTTCAGCCTTGTGACTGTGTAATCTCTTCCTTCCGTTATACATTAAGACTGCCAAGGATAGCTGACGTTTAATTTGCACAATATAACTTGACATGCCTTCGGTCGTGGTGGGCGTCTGGGGAGTTAGGTTTCTTACTTGGAGCAAAGGATACACAACTTTTTGTCTGTCACACTGTATGCACTTTATTCCTACTTGAGCTAATTTTTTCAAGTTGCTGTGCCCTTTTTGAAGACACTTCACTGTTTTGGTTTCAGCTTTAAAAAAACAAACAATGTTCTTTGCTCACTTTGTAGTGTGTTTCAGAGAGTTATACAGCGGTTAGTGTCTCTTGCTTCTTTCATGCCGAGTAAAACTACAAGGAGCTGTTGCTCATGAGGAGAATTACAGCTGGGTTTGTAAGTGAAGGAAAAAGCAGGATTTGATTTTTTTTAAACTGTATTTAGTGTGCATGTCATGCTCAGGTAGATGTAAGAGATTGATTGTCTTATATAAGCATCGACATATAAATAATTTTTTTTTCCATCTTCTAGAACAAGAAGAATATAAAAAAGAAATATAAAACAAGAGAATGTAAACTGGGGGAAAAGAAATCCTACTATGTGAGATTGTTTCCCATATACCCAGAGAAAGGAAGAAAGATACATACAAATGTTTAGCATGTGCAAGTTGCTTGGTGCATGATTGGTTCCCTACTTAGGAGTGGAATTCAGTGAAATAGGACTCCTCTTTTAAAAACAAAGAGTAAGCGCACAACAAAGGATAAGTGATCAAATGATTAGCCAGAGGCTAATAGGAATGCAAGGGAAGAGTGACAGATTGTGTATTAGGACGAAATCTGATCTGGAAATTAATTTGAAGCTTTCTGCAGCTGAGGCTGCAAAAGAACTAATTTAAAAATATTTCTGAAGGACATAAATATATGAAAATTCTGACTTGCTTGTGTATAAAGTGTAATACAAGAAAGAAGGCTAATGGATAAATAAAGTTGAATTGTAATTTAGAGGAATTTTCCTCTGCCCCACCTTTTTTAAAAAAATCTGTCTTTGCTTAGGGTGAAGTATGCATCTGCCTGTAGCTTAGCATGAGAAACTCTGTTAATTTACTTACAAATTCTGGTGATTTAGAAATATGCATGCTGTAAGGTTCTCTCTGGTTGAATCTACATTCTGTTGTACGCAAATAGGAGAGTAAAATCAGGACAGCTGATAAATACCTCACCGGACACAATCAACAGCTACATGTCAACAGGGAAATATACTTGAATATTGGAAAAAACAGAGCTTTTAATTATGAAGAAGTGCATATTTCCTTATATAGTGACCTACCAAATGGTTTTAATTTAACCTTGCGGTAGGTAGATGTCACTTCGTATTAATAGAATTCGCTTTCTTTATAGAGACCGTATTACCTTTCTTCAAAATTTAACATTAACTGCTGTGGTGCAGCAGCATCTGAGTCCACACGTTTTTTTAAGGTTCAAAACATTCCTTTAAAAGAACCCCCACAAACTTATTAAAAAAGCGGCTTATGGTAGTTTGCTGGTTTACCTTTTTAAAATTTATGTTTTCATTTTAAAGCATTAATAAATACACTATGGTAAAATTCTAAAGAATTAGTAAATACAGAACAGTAAAATCTGAGTACGACAGATGAATTTTTGTCAAGCTTTAAATGTAGCTAAACTTCTGTGGGCACGTTACTAAAGTTACTTGCTGCTGAAGGATGGAAATTAGTTCCGTGTAGGCTTTGATATTCGTTGAAGCTGTTTGTAAAGCCTGATTTTTCTGTGTACTTCTCTGCTGTTTTTTAATTTATATAAATATTTGCTGCTTATGTAAAAGAAAAAATGTGACATAAACAGTATGTGAAGGTATCAGGTTAGTATAAGTTGTAATTTAAAAAACCTCTCATTTATGCCTCTGATTATTTTGTATAGCAAAGGAGAAAAGTGATACAGTGAAGTAGCTTTTGGATGTATGTGTATGCACCATTCCTTTCTTCTGAACAGAATTATAAACATTTAATTTCAAGTCAACACTCCTATAAGAGTAACTAACAATTTCTCTTCTGATTTGCCATATGGAATCTTCCTATTCCTGTATAGTTTTGCACTTTATGTTGTTGTTGGGATCTTCTTGGTGGTGGGTTTAGCATGAGGAGCAGAGATCTGTCACTGAAAATCCTCTTACCTCTGAGGGCCAAACCATTCAGTGTAATAGAGTCTTTCAAGTCCTATTCTTGTCTTTAAATTTCTGTCATTGATTTATTTAGTGCAACAGCAACTGAGCAACAATAAAAAATATCTTTAAAATAAAAAATTCTATAGATAGAGACAAATCTTATTATTTAGTCTCTTCATTAACAATGTCCTACAAAGAGTAAAGAGGAAGAAGTGCCACAGCCTCGTAGGTCCCATGTTCCCATGTAAAAGGTCAGACCTATATTTTATATTGTTTTACCTTTTAGTCCTTTGGATTATGTTTTCCTTGTTTCAAGACTCACATCGTAACAGTCTCTTTGGAGACATTAGCTAACATCAGTACAATACTCAGGGACTTGCAGCTATTTTTAAAGGAAGTATATGAGAAAACAAATTCTGTTTCTGGTGCCATGGTGTCTAATATATAGTTGAGATGTTCCAATCGTAACTGTTCTGATTAAGCCGTGCTAATTGTTACAACCAGAGATACTGGTATTCCTGTACTAAATCTGTTCTGCTTCTGTTTGCAGCTATGTCATCTTATCTTTTAATTATTAAGACTGAACTTCCTGGTGCTGTTGCGGGGTTCTTAAGTGGAGATGAGAGTGGGTAAGGAAAAATGCTTCATCCATTCTGTATTTATCTTGAAGAAGAAAGTGGTTCAGGACTGCTGAAGGAGATGGGTACTGACACTTTCCTCTGATCTCATATGCTAAAAAACTTAGTTATTTACAGGAGTTCTTGGAATATGAAATGTATTTGGCATGTGCAAGGCTTCTGCAGCACACACACAGAGGGAGTGATTCTTTCCTCATAGCAATTTCCCATCAGTTGACCTTAAAGTCAGTGGCAGAACTCCATCTACAGAAACCTCCCTTCTGTAAAAATTTAAAAGGGGAAGCAGGAGGGGACAGGAGGGAGAGGAGGAGAAACATTTAAACTGCTGTCATGTTATCACTTCACATATTTCAAAACCACTGTACAAAAACTGGCAAACACTTACATTTAAATATTTTGTTGCCTTGCTCCAGTAATTGGACTTGTCTTGGGAAAAATGCCAGGTTTCCAGACTTGGTTTATAATCCCATAACTTGGCTCCCAGTAAAGAAATTATTCTTTGCAATTGAACTATAAAGTTGTATGTAAGGAGTCTGTCCCTCAGATTTCTGTCAGAACTGTTGCAAGAAATCTGTGCCTCTGCTAAGACAAACACTGCAGCTTCAGCACTGAAATACCTTGTTCAAGCTGTTCCAGTGCTGCTGTCATTCATAACAGTGTATCTTCGAGTGTGTCACAGCTGTTTTTCCAAACTACTATTTTCAGATGTTTTGAGCTCAAAAGTTTCTCTGTATTGAAATGTGGTGAGATTTTCTCAATGCTGTGTGATGCTTGTATCATTCCTGAATGTTGTGGATGAACTCCAAGTTTGAAATCAGTTTTTTTTTAAAAGGTCCTTTAGTTAATTTTATATTTTATTGTTTACAACTTTTCCATTTTATAACGAACATTTTGAGAAACAAAGTGTGGTAGTAATCTTGCTTTCTGTCTTTCTGCCCTCCTGGCCCTTGTAATAATATGTTTTTGTAAGGGGCTTTCTATTATGTTTTATGTCATTTTTAGTCTGCTAATGTATCTTTTCCGGCTGTGATAGTCAACAGCTTTTCATTGGGTGCTGTCAAGATTGTACTTGTAACTCCACTCTTCGTACACAGTGGCGTTGAGCCTGCTACTGCATCTGCTGCGTGTATGTTCCAGTCTGTCTGTCCCCAAATTTAGCATATAACAGCACTTCTTATTTTTTATGTTTTTACTTTTATGTCAGCTCTGTTTATGCAAAGTGATTTTTCCCAACAAAGAAACCCTTTTAAACAAACAGCTTATGAAAACTCATAATGGGTAGAATCTGGAGGTCCCACATGCGTGCATACTGCTCAAAGGATTGTTCTGCCTTAAAAAGGCAATATAAGCAACTTATTTATTAAGCTGCCTCGCGTGCATACTGCTCAAAGGATTGTTCTGCCTATAGGCAATATAAGCAACTTATTTATTAAGCTGCCTATTTGATAATGCTCCCGCCGCCTTTCGCTGTTTTTCAAGGTCCTAGTGCAGATCATCTGGATGCAAACGCTGGTGAATACAGAGACAGGTTACAGTGGTTGAACTGGTTATTACAAACAGTCTGAGCCATGGTAGTTCTCAGTGCGCTGTCAGCGCTGCCGCCATCCATACTTCTTCCTTAGTTGAAATTACAGCTTAAGATGCGAATGAAGCTCAGTTTTACATTTAGAAAGAGCTGAAATTGTCCGTAGAAATACCAGCCACAGCTCACGTGGTAAGTTGATTGTCAGCCCGGGTCTTGGCCTGTTTCTGCCCGCTACTGGGAGTTCTTCCATTGATCAATATATGTTTATTTGACACAATTTGACTCCTCTATTCTTTCCCCAAGAAAATATTTCAAAGGCAGTGGTCAAGCCACCTTCTAGGTGCATGCACATAGCTGACCTTCTCTGTATGCCCACATCTATATTTCATATATTTGCCATATTAATTGCTGTGGTAGATCATAATCTTTTGTTTCTGTGTATTTCTTCACAGATATTGAGAGTAGTTTTTTACTAACAGTTTTTAAATTGTAGGAAATTGCTCAACAGCACTAGGTAGTCAAATATCAAGCCTAAGTAGCAACTTGTTTATGCAAAGGGCATGAATACTGACTAGTTTGATTAAACTGTTTTAAATGGACCACTTGTTTCCAGATGTGGTTGCACAACTCTTGTGTTTTTAAGTCATTATAGCATCTGATACCCTTTCATTTGAGTGCAGGATTTGTCTTTAACTGTAGTTAGAATGTACCAAAAGCGTCAGTTAAACTATCTGTGAGAAACATTTTATATGCATATACCATCCCAAAGCATACTTATGGGAAAGCCATTTAAAGAATGTTTTGCGCATCAAATTATTTTTGTAGATGAAGGTTAGCAGGTGTGCATGTGTTTGAAAGGCTCAGAGCCAGCGTGTAATACATCTTCGTGGCTTTATTAAAAACCAAAACCATACAATATGAACACTCGTTAATTGCAAGTTGAGATGTTTCAGTCTGCATAATGAGAATTCCATATAGCTTTGATGACATGAACATAGTTTCAAATGAGGATTGTGTTAAAAAGTTGTAATTTGTGAGCCCTCTGTTAACGTTTAATGACCCTGTCAGGAGGATATGATTGATGCAATTAAGTTGTCTTGCTTGTGTGTTATATAATTGATATGGACTGAGAGTAAGATCCTAATTTAGAACATATGAATCTCTTGTCCTGTTGCATTCAGGAATGAAATTAAAGCGATTTATAAATGTCTGTTTTTACTTAAAATATGGGGGAGGGAGGAGGAACATCTGCATGCCAAAGCATTTTCAGTAGAGACGAGGGTTTATATTCCATATTTCATACTTGGAACGCTTTTATCATGTAGGATTAAATTTGCGGATCAAACTGATTTTAAAGGCAATATCAAAACATTTATTCTGCCTTTGGAAAATAAGTGTATTTCTACAACAATACTTTGGGAAAAAAACGGACACCTTTTTTGATAACCAGTAAATGGTCCACTATTCAGTTTTATGAGATCTTTTTAAATTTTGGAATACCAATTCTTGTGTTTAAGCAATTTACAAAATTATTTTTTCTCTTTCCCATTACCTCATTGCAGTTTTCTTCTCACTTTTCCCTCTCCCTCATAAATGTTTTTTCATTTACCATAATGTAACCAAACCAATTTTTTCTCTGGCCTGCTGAGCTTGTGAGCTACGAGGGAAACTGTGGATTTTGCTGTGTCCTTAGAATTGTGAGACTTAAAACAGAGGTCCCACATGTACACACAAGTGCAGCACTCATTATACTTTTGCCTACTGCTATGAATCTGTTCCTCCTAATCCGAACATCCACCATACTAGAAAGAAAGCAGAACTTTTAAAATTGTGAACTCTAAATGGTAACAACATGAAGAATGCTACAGCAGGGAGCTGATCTTGGCAAAGTTGCTTTTTGGCTGTAGCAGCAGCAGACCTAGGCTAGTATAAGTTTTTTTGAAGAGTGATGTATTTTGAGTAATTTTTAATATAGACATTGTTACTTAAGGGTTACTTTGATTTTTGATATGGGAAAGATGCCCTCAACCTTGACATTTCTCTGTTCACTTACATTACATATTTTTTTCAAACCAGTGACAAGGGGTTGTGCACGATGTATGACAGTAGTTAATACATGTATATGGTAATTTTTCTTTAACACAGGTGTTACGCTACTTTCCTTAAGATAACTTGAGGTGCTGCCTGTTTATTAGGTGCTAACCATATCCTGGACTAAATAAACTTACAGGTCAAAGGCCAAGGTGTTTATAGGTAGTAAAGTCGGAGGCTGATGTGCAAGATGTTTATCAGTACAGGATATGGTTATTACCAAGTTAGGGGGAGCCACCCTCAAGATGTTTCTTTTCCTTAATAACTTCTACATCTGTACTTTCGTCAGTTTGGAGATGAGATTTTGATACTTTGAATAGATTCTAAATGCATTCAGTCTTCATATGCCTCTACAATGCTTTTTTCTATGTATAGTTTTACTTATGAAAATAATAGCAGATTTCATTAGCATAATTTCCATCCCTTCTGCCCTTTGATTTTTGTGTGGATGTATGCAAAGAATGAGTGATCACTTTGTGCAAAGCTAGAGATAGGGAAGTTCTCTGTATTGCTGTTTTTTCTTATATCACCTCTGGACAGCAAACATCATTTCAAGTTAGCTGGAAGTTGATTTACTACTTGTTTTCTTCTATTACTTGAACACTGTGACGAGAGGTGTAATGAAGCTTGGGCAGAAGAGAAAGTTGGTATGTTTAGAAAACATAACTGTATTGCCAAACACATAGGTTGAGTAGCTTAGCTTTCTATTTCACACCTCTGGGAAATGGTCAGGAACTAAGGTCACGTAGGAGTAATAAACTGGAAGGGAAGTTCAGCAATGAGTGGGAATTAATGTTGCCGTTTCTTCCAGTTGTGTAAATATGCATCTCAGTGTAATCTAATTCAAGATATATATGTAGCGTACTATACAAGTACTTCTGCTGGAAATCTGTAGAGCATGAAATGCCCTTCCCTCTGATCATTGCTTTGAATAAAGGCAGGGGTTTGCATATTGTGCTGCTGAGAAATAACTTTACATGCATCAGACCTCTGATCCATGCGGACACTTGCCTCTGGACCTTCGCCTACAATGCTGGTTTGTTGTGGGATGGTGCTGTGCTTCCTTGTTATCTGGGAACTCTATTTTATAATCACAATATAGAAACTAGGAATACAAATTCATGTAAATAGCATGTGAGACTGGAAATGATTTATTTTTTTTGTCCTAGTGGTTATTTTGTTTGAGATCACGGTTTTAAAGTAGAACATATATTTTAGGACTCTTGAGCTTTGCATCAGTCATAAATAGATATTCCAATAGGTCTTGGTACCTTGATGGGAGAGTGCTGCTGCTCATTACTTCAGTCTGCATTGTTTTTCCTCTTGCGCTTCTTCCTAAAATTGGTGAGTAATTAAAGGAGAGAAGCGAATATTATTCTACTTTAGTAGCAATTACAATTGAAGACTTTAAAACCTTAATGGGTTATTTATTTATTTTAACTGGCAGGGGGGTGGTGATGGTGGGGATTACTTAAGTTGTTGTAGTGTGTTCTGCTTTCCAGCCCTGCCTAGTTAACCTATTACTTGGGTTGCAGTAGTATTTTGTCTGCAATACTAAAATAAAATCTTTACAGCAGAACATTAAAGAGCTGCATTTACTTACAGCGTGCCATTAGTGGTAAGCCAGTTCTAATTCTGCCCTACAAAACTACATAAATGATCTGTGACAGGCAGTTGGAATGTTGTTATTCTGAGTCCTAAGCCCCAGATACCAAGCACTGTAATAGAAAACATGCCTAAAATGTAAAGCTTTAGCTGTACATTAGGATCACTTTCCTTATAAATTCTCTTTTATTTTTACTGTTATTTTACAGGCTTTCTTGGCTACACAAGTAGTTTATCATTTTTCTTTATGGTGTACTTTGCTCTTGTGGTAAGTTAAAAATCCGTGCACAGCTTATCTGCTTTTTTCTTATTGTTTGAATGTTTTCATAAGCCTGTTTTGAAATGAATTGTCTTCCCCTCCCCCCTTAACGTTTTATGTGAAATTTAGAGTTTTCCTTAAGTTCAGTATGTGCTCGCTTGGACAGTTTACATTTGTTTTGCTGAGGCATGGAAATGCATATGAACTTTCAAGCATGTGAAAAGATTTAAAATAATTATATTTTGGACTGGTAGATGTAACAGTATTTTTGTTTTGCTGACGGTGCGGTGAAGGGAGCTGGCACATTTACTTTTGTTTCCCTACTAGTAGTGGAATGGAATTCTGTTTTCTTAGCTTCTAACTATTACTCACTGCAACTAATGCAGGAGAAAATTTAATATACTCCAAATAAATTAAATTTACATGTATAATGAAGTGACAGAGTTCAAAAAAAGGGAAAGAAAACTAGAACTTTATTAAGGCAGTTTACAAGATTCATTAATACGTCAATGACCTTATTCTTCTTTCCCGCTGAAAGGAAAAGTTCCTTTCTCTGAGTCATATGGGGGTTTTTGACCCTGATGTTCACCCTCTCAAGGCCCCTGTGAGATAGATGTTTCCAAATATCAAAAGTGAGACCTGCTAGGCAGATCTAAGAGGGAAAATGTGCCTCTAAGTTGCACTCTTTTTCTTTTTACAGGGAAAAAGTATGTTAATGCACGTGTGTAATACGTAGTACAAGCAAGCAACTCGCACTCTGTCATCTAGGTATAGAAACCACAGTCTTATTTGGGAGCCCAGAAAAACGTTCCCCCTCTCCCCTGTCTTTCTGGCTTGCATTGACTTGCATTTAATACCTGTTTTACAAAGGGATAAACAGAGTTGAAGGCAAGTTGAACAAACATGCCATCCAGGAGACCAAGGCAATCCATTAGGAACTAAACCATGTGATAAAACCAAACTTCAAAGCTGTCAAAACATCTCCCTAGGGTATCCCTGGAGAATTGCAGTGTTTGTAGGACCTTGGGAAGTATTCTTCCTAAGCTGAGCGTTGCGAAGCAGCTACAGCCTCTCCAGAGCTAATGGAAATTCATTTGTAATATTTATAAATTACCTTAACTTTTGACCTCTCTCCTAAAATTTATCTTAAAAGGAAAAAAAAAAAAAGAAAAAGCACTAACTGTAACGCTGAAATAGGCCTTTGGCTGAAGCTAGTTGCAAGAGTTTTAGAACACGTTTGGCTCCTGGATTTCAATGGGAATGTGTATGCATCTGTGAAAAAAGCTGTTGTAACGTGTGGATGCATTTGAAAACAATTTTGGGCTCAGAAAAGGCAAGTGTGTAAGCAAGACTTGCATGCAGACATGTCAAGCTGGGATGATTTAAGCTAGGGTTTAGTTTTGGTTATCAAAAACGTAGGTAGAAATGAAGGAGTACACAGACTACTGGATTTCTTAGGAGATGGTTAAATTTGTATGCTTATTCCTTGTTGTTAAATGACAAACAGCCACAGTAAATCTAATTGAGGTCAAAAATTTTAAAAGCTGTTATGGATATTTAAAGAAAACTAATACTCTACGCAGAATATTCTCTCTGACTTCTTTAGGCACTGAAACTCAAAGGCATTAAATGTGGTTTAGTTTTCATATCTAATGCTTTGAAGTGGGTGATATGTGCTGTTGAAATGGTGTTTTAGTTTGCACAATGTTAATTTCTGTATGGCAGATATGTTTTAATTTGTTCCAGAAGAAAACTGTGTGAGTCATATGGAAGTAATACATTTATGTTTTGCATATACAATAATTCTGTGCATTTTCAAGTGCATGCCATCTGTTCAGCTTTTTGCCAGCAAGCCACAGTTTTAATACAGCCTGCAGAAAAGATAGGTACAATAGGCAGCATATGTCTTGGTCAGTACGGTCTAGCGAGTGCGCTGAGCAAAAGGTCTAGAGACTGCGCTTTGTGCTGTGCTGTGGGGCTTTGGCAGGTCACCTACCTCCTCTCTGCGCTTCAGGATCTTTTCCTTTGAAGTTAATGTACTCGTTATAGTCCTCACTTGGAAAAAAGTGAAAACACTAAGATGAGCTGATCTGGGAGAAAACCAAATATCTGTAACGATTAGTTCAAGTATCTGTAACTATTAATTCAAAGCCAGATTCTGTGAGGTCCTGAGTGCTTTTGTTTCTGATTGTTGAATGCTTTCCTGACTTGAATCCTAAGTGAAAAGAAATTAAACGCGATCATTAAACTTTTTTTTTTATTGCCTCCCCTCTTGCTATATTGAATATTGGTGAAGAATAAAGACAGATTTTTCTTTTTTTGTGGAGACAGCCCTATTGGTAGCTCGTTCAACAAAGGTGTTAATGATTCCTGATGGTATTTTTCTGAATCTCTTGTTTATGTTCCCAGAACAAAATGTGATGCAGATTTGGAACCTGCCATATGTAACAAATGATGTTAGGCACAGAGCCCTGCTTGCTGAGTGCTGTCAGTGCTGCTGGAGTAAAGGGATTCCTGTTTTCCCCCTGTGGGATACGAAAAAGCAACATCACTGAAGAATATTAGAACGTTTTGAGCCTGTCTCTTTATTTGCTAGCAGTGGTTTTAGTGTGGGTTTAAAATACCCTATTTCCATTAGAATCTCCGTTTAGGTTTTAGATTTTTTTCCACTTAAAACCAAATGTTTGTTACACTCAAAAGACAACAGTTTTATGAAATAGGCTTAAAGTTCCAGAGGAAGGTTGTGCTGCCTGCATGACTGCTCGGCTAACTGGGCTGTGTTGCCAACTTAAAAATCTCTTCCTGTTGGGGGGGGACCTCATTAGAAATACAGCGTAGACTGCAACTGGAAACCCGAACAGATTTGAATAATTAAGCAGATGGGCAACTATAATTACAGATTTTAAATGCACCTAGTGCATTTTATTTTGTCTCCTTTTATTTCCATTTCAATCTGTTCTTAATCTGTATTAATTTCATTTTAGAAAAATGTTCTTCAGCTTCTTATGTTTGGCTTGGCTTGTCCTCCCTCTGCAATGTTTATATATATCTTTGCTCTTTAGCTTGCAGGAAACCCTGCCCCCACCACTGCCAGGCACACTTTACTTTTCCCCAAAGCTTGCCCTTTAGCTTCATGCCCCTTTTCATTGCTCAGGAAGCCTATGCCAGCGTTAGCCAGAGTTCCCACAAAGCCTTCTACTTTGGAGCCTTCAAAGCATCTCCTTTATTTCCCCTATCTGCCTTTAAATACACAGAGATCTCCTTGAAAAAATATTTTGCCTCCTTGCTCAGCCTCATAAATGTCTTCAGCTAGCCAACAAGCTTGGGCTTCCTGGGGAGATAGCACAGCCATACATCCACAGTTGTGGTACTGCAGCAGCGGTCTGCATCTGTGTCTCAGCTTGTAGCTTCTCGATGCTTAGTGTGCAAGAAAGAGGTGAAGCATGGGTGGACCCATGTGACAGTCGTGCATATGTACAATACGGACCCAAGTTATATTTTGGTGTTTGGTCCTTTCCTCTTTCCCCCCTTGCTCACTCTTCGGTAGAACTTCTTGATGTACTATCAGCATGTTCTTGTCCCTTCTTACACCCTTCCTCAGATCAGGTTGCTGTTCACATTGCACAGAGGAGGCAGTTTAGCCAATCTAAACCAAATAAGCAGGTAAGAACAGATCTCCTGGTATAAACCAGTGCCAGTTTAGTGTCAGAAACACAGCTGGAGGATTTCCCTTGACAATCCTTTTTCACAAAGCTTGCAGACTGCTTTTGAGTAAGCTACTTCCTGGTCCCATACCATGAGTTGTTGTGAATTGTTCTTAGTCGTGCAATTTAAGACATGTTATTTTTAAGACATGTTATTGCCACAATGGGCTCAGCGTGCTGTGTACCTGCAGTTTCCTTTCCCACATTTTGTCTGGAGGTAGCATTTGTTTGCTTCTCCTGGCACTGGTGACAAGAGGGAGCATCTAATCCTTATCCTCTGGGAAACAGCACTTGGCTGCAAGCAAAAAGTAGTTCTCTGAGCCAGGAGAAGCACTCTCTTACATGTTGTTCTTCTCGTGAATCTGAGTCTTTAATTAAGTTTTTAATTATTTGCTCTAGGCTTCAAAAGAATTATAACCTCTAAAGCCAGGCAACTACAATAGGAAATTAATTAGGATGAGGAGAGCAAAGCGACTATCACTTTAAACTAGGCTCCTGAAAAAGGAGGTAACATTTCTTATTTTAATTTCCCTTTGATTTTTCAGCCCTGTTACTTGGCAGTCCCTAACCAGCAGGGTGTAGCTAAAGCCCCAATGACATTCTGGGACAATAATTGCATTTATTGTTTTTCCTTTGCTTTCTAGTTCAAACCATATGTTTCTGCCTTTTAAGATTAGGCAGCTATTCTGTACGGGAGGCAGTTAGTGTGGAGCGCAGAGGGAGTGAATGTGGAGTGCTGGTTGTATTTCAGTTAATGTCAGAGCTCATTTCAGTGCACCACCTCCAGATAGGCACGCCATAAGGCTGCCAGCTGTGCATAGTAAGCAGCTGTATGGAATGGCACTGACGAGTGTTTCTGTCAGGTTTCCTTCTTGTGGCCTAACAATCTACCAGTCAAGCCTGTTAAATTACTATGGGTGCAGCTCCCTGCTTTGTATATCAAGTCAAATGTTTTAGCTACGTATATCTAAATTTAAACTGATTTTTAGGGTATCATTCATACATTAAATATGCTGTTTTTGCAGATTATGATCAAAAAATGGTCGATCCCTTGTCCTCTACCTCTAAGTAGTGCCATAGAGACATTACAGGTAAAGTGCATGCTGTTTTGAAGTTTTCTAATGTTATGAGTAACTATAGTGCTTTTTTTACATTAACACTTTCAGAATGACTTGTAACTTAAGTTCCTTCTTTTCTTAATCATCACAGAAATGAAAAAGTTTCATGTCTGTGGTTTGCGCTTATTCTTTCATTATGCCATTTTTTTGCATGTATGTCTTCCAGGTTTCTAATTCTACCGGGGATTGTAAAGCAAAGCTCTTTCATCTCTCAAAAGAGGTAATCTCTATTAACAATACACAAACTTAAAGTGGGGGGGGGTGTGTGTTTGAAGAATTGGGGTTTAAACTCTATCCAGGGTAAGCTATTCTTCTGTAAAACTAGTTACAGGCTGCTGAAATATTTCCTATACCTGCTGCCAAGTGTTATCCAGTCTCACCCTTTTTAATATGAAGGCTGGCTGTCCAAGTTAGTATTTATGAAAAAATTTTACAAATATAACCAAAATAGAAAGTATAACACACACAGCAGTGGTCAGCCTCATGATGCAGTCAGATCAAGCCAACTTAATATGCCCTCAGCTGGAAGTCAGTGCTACTTGGCGGTTTGTACGCTTCTAGTTCCTGGTGAGGTAGAACAGGTTTCCTGCAACTGTCTGGACCTAACCTTAGGTTTTTTTCTTACCCGATGCTAATTCCTTAGGCCTAATGCAATCTTGTGCATTTCTTCAGATGCCAGCTCTGGTATTTGTTAATGATATGTGGCATTTAAATCATGTCACCACACATGAAGGCTTGCAGGAGAGGAAGAATCATGTGGAACTCCAGTGTCTGTGGGGCGAAGAGGGAAGGGAAAAAGGGAAGAATAAATCTGGGATAGGCCTGTAGTGTAGTGGAATTTAGGAGGGACACAGTTGGTTGTATTTGTTTAAAAAAACAAAACCACCCTCATCCTCCCAAGAAAAAGGCGGGGAGGGGGGGGGAAGGTTGGGCAATGCAAACACGAGACAAATGTTATCTGTAGATCAAAGAAGAAATTTTGCTTTGACCAGAAACATCTACTGTGAGATTCTGGCCTTTTGTCTGGTCTTTTGTGCTTTGAAGAATCTTGGGACTCATCTCTACTTCTTTTTTAATTTTAACTTTATCAATAGAAAGTGGCATATTTTTACGAGTATGGGCCTGATTATGTCAGCATAAAAGTGTTTGTTGTAGTTCAGCTTATTCCACTTGGCAACTGAAGTAAGCTATACTAGATGATTCATCTCTTCAATTACAAGTTTTTGGAATAATATACCACTAATTGTGTGGTTGCAACTTCAATTATATAACTACCTTAAAACTTTAGATGCCAGAGCATGTTATATTTTCTCGATGCTGTATCCAAATTTTTATGAAGGAGTAATAAGAAAATAGTGAAGTCAGGATGAAGGAATTGGTAATTTGACAAGTAGTTATGGATATTAGAATTTAGAAAACCTCTTAGAAAATTTCATGAATGATACACTGACTCTGGGGCAAATCCTACTCTTTTTACCTAAGTACTGGACCTCAATATAGCTAAAAAAGAATCTTTCAGTTGTTGGCTTTTATAGACAGCATGACCTCTCCTGATCATGAAACAGTAAGCTATGACCACCACTTGAAGAGGTACTAGTTGAAAAGGTCCATTTTTTGTGGAATGATTCAGAGATGCCATTTTGTTTTGGGGAGATTTATCTCAAAGCATTAATATGGAAAGATTTCCACGGACTTCCAACACTCGAACTGAATTCGTCCAGGTATTTTTCCAATCATCTGTAATTACAAACAACCTACAAGATTTTTTTTTTTTCTATTTCAGAGTGCTTATGCAATACCAACTATGGCCTTCTCTTTTCTCTGCCATACCTCAGTCTTACCCATCTATTGTGAGCTCCGAAGGTAATGTATGAAAACACATGCAATATGAAAATAGAATGATAGTATTTCTGTAATATTTTCCCTAAATTAATCTTGAATAATAGTTATTGTCATAGAATCATAGAATAGAATAATAGAATCATTTTGGTTGGAAAAGACCTTTAAGATCATTGAGTCCAACCTTTAACCTAACCCTGCCATCCCACCACTAAACCATGTCCCTAAGCACCTCATCTATCCTTCCTTTAAATACCTCCAGGGATGAGGACTCGACCACCTCCCTGGACAGCCCATTCCAGAGCCTGACAACCCTTTCGGTGAAGTTTTGTAGTATCAAATCTAAACCTCCTTTGGTGCAACTTGAGGCCATTTCCTCTTGTCCTATTGCTTGTTACTTGGAGAATACACTAACACCCACATCGCTACACCCTCCTGTCAGGCAGTTGTAGAGAGCGGTAAGCTCTCCCCTGAGCCTCCTCTTCTCCACACTGAACACCCCCAGGTCTCTCAGCCGCTCCCCATCAGCCTTGTGCTTCAGGACCCCTCACCAGCTTTCTTGCCCTTCTCTGGACGAGCTCCAGCCCCTCAATATTCTTCTTAGAGTGACAGGCCCAAAACTGAACACAGTATTTGAGGTGTGGCCTCACCAGTGCCCAGGACAGGGACACGATCCCTGCCCTGCTCCTGCTGGTCACACTATTCCTGATACAAGCCAGGATGTTTTTGGCCCTCTTGGCCACCTGGGCACACTGCTGGCTCATATTCAGATGGCTGTTGACCAGCACCCCCAGATCCTTTTCCACCATGCAGTTTTCCAGCCCCTCTTCCCCACACCTGTAGCATTGTGTGGGGTTGTTGTGACCCAAGTGTAGGACCCAGCACTGAGCTTTGTTGAACCTCATACAATTGGCCTTGGCCCATCGATCCAGCCTGTCCAAATCCCTCTGTAGAGCCTTCCTACCCTCCAGCAGATCAACAGTTCCACCAGACTGGGTGTCATATGCAAACTTACTGAGAGTGCACTCAATCCCCTTGTCCACGTCATTGATAAAGATACTAAACAGAACTGGCCCCAGTACTGAGCCCTGGGGAACACCACTTGTGACTGGCCACCAAGTGGATTTAATTCGCCACATTTACCACAACTCTTTGGGCCCGGCCATCCAGCCAGTTTTTTACCCAGCCAAGAGTACGACTGTCCAAGCCATGAGCAGCCAGTTTCTCCAGGAGAATGTGGTGGGAAACAGTGTCACAGGCTTTTCTAAAGTCCAGGTAGACAACATCCACAACCTTGCCTTCATCCACTAAGCAGGTCACCTTGTCACAGAAGATCAGGTTAGTCAAGCAGGACCTGCTTTTCATAAGCGTGTACTGACTGGGCCTGATCACCTGGTTGTCCTGTATGTGCTGTGTGATGGCGCTCAAGATGATCTGCTCCATAACCTTCCCTGGCACAGAGGTCAGATTGACAGGCCTGTAGTTCCCTGGATCCTCCTTCTGGCCCTTCTTGTAGTCAGTGCCATCAAACAATGCAAACTAAGTAGCTTTCATGTTTTTGGGAAATGTACAGTTTTAGCCTGTACTGGCTTTTCCTCTCTTACAGGAGAGAAAAGTAGCAAATATGGTTCCATCATCAATGTCAGTACATTGTCCTGGCCTGGACAATCTGGAGAAAAAAGGTCATTTGCTAAGGTACTTACTAGTTAATTTTTATTGCTGTAACTGAATCTGCATTTGGCCACATCTGATTCAGTGGTTTTTTTGACCTAGATTCTGTTCCTGGCTCTGAAGATACATCATCCTGTATAAATCAAAATTTTTATTTTAAAAATACTCTGGTATGCTTAAATTACCTACAAGATGGGGACAATGTTAGTTGTCTGCACAAAAAGTGCCCTTTAATTACCGGATTAAAAATACTTTTAAACCCCCTAACTGTTACGGACAGCACAGACCTCAGCAAATACTCTGTGGCCATAAATTAAGAGGATGCTTTCTTATGAAAGGCAAGCTGCTATTTTTTTAATGTAGATTGCATTGTTTTTAATAGTCTACAATACAAATTAAGTAACACTAATTTTCTGGTTTTTTTGCGGTTTAGTCCATCCAAAAGTAGAATGCAGAATGTAGCTGTGACAGGAATTGGTCTGAGTTTCCTAATTTACTTCATGTCTGCTCTGTTTGGGTACCTGACATTTTATGGTAAGTATATTCTTTGAGTATTCTTTAGAGTGAATGCTAATAATAAATGAGAAATGCATTCTGTCTGGAGTATTTCTGGCTTGTTTGTGCATTGATATGCTTGAGTCCTCAGAAATCCTGTTTCTGTGAAGACTTAAGAATATGCCTAACACTGCAAAGCATTACAGTCTCATTGACTTCTCAACATGTACGGTAGCTAAACTTTGCAGGGTTTATGCCCTAAAATGCTGTACAGGCAAGATACTGGTCCCTAAACTGTAGCTGATGGTCTGTTGATGCTCTCTAATGCTATGTAATTAGACTACTGATTGCCACTATATGTTGGACTGTATAATATTTTCACTTAAAAGCTAGGAACGGATTTATCATGGTGTGTGAGAAGGTTTGAGATCTGATAGCGGTCTGCTTGTCCAACAGGTTTGAAAGGTCTGTTCTAAGGCTGTATCTTCTAGCAGCATTTATCACTTATTAACCCTGTGATATCCCAGCACATTTGTAGTCTCTAGGAAGCACTTTGGCTGTTGCCTTTTATAAGGGGAATTTGACCTACAGCAAGCTAGCCCTAATGCTGGGTAGGCGTGAAGGTTTGCAGCATGTTTTCCCTGTCCGATACAGATTGGGTACAAAGCATGTGTGACTTCTTTGTTTTGTTTTTGTATTTTTACAAATTAATTGGAACTAATACTAGCTATGTCACTAGAAATCTGCTGGAAGTGGAAAAAAAAATTTCCATGAATCATCCAATTTAGAAAAGCATTATTTTAAAGGATTACACAAAGTGATTTCTTCATGATACCTTTGTTTATATGTAATGTAAAGACAAACTAGAGGACTCCGGAAAAAATTGACAAGGTACATAAGAAAATTAGAAGGTCTGAATCAGAGAAAGCATCCATCTAGTTTTGTGTCTTGACTTGAGCAGAGGGCAATCACAAAAGACTAGGGAAGGATTTAAAAGGATAAGGTTTGAGTTGGGCTTTCTGGGACATGCTTCTGGTCTTCAGTATTTTGTGTTGCATGCAGTTCCTGAACCAGAGGTGGTATCTGTTTGATACATGAACTGAACCAAGAAATGCACGTCTTACAGATGTTGTGGACAAAGTGCTTGATGAAGTAAATATACCTTTTTATTTACCAAACAGAAAAGTGGGCTATGACACTTGCCCTATTAAATTCTACAGACATCTTTTGTTTTCATTTGCTGTAGAGTTTACATGGCAATGTGCTTCAGTACCGATTTAATAGCTCCGCATTTGGACTTTTGAATACTTCTGGGTACAGTTTTTTAGTTGAGTTTAAACGTAGATGAGTTCGTCTGTCTGGTATTCTTCCACTTCCCAGGTTTCAGAACCCTTACCTGCGTAGTGGCTTTTTTAAAAAGACCCATCATAACTGTGGCAGAAGTAGGTGAGTGTCTGTTTCATACAGCAGTTTTAGTAGCCTGTCATAGAACATCACAGTGTGATGCCTTTTCTAAGGAATGTCACTTGGCTCTGTGTATCCTGCTTTAAATTTGTGTTATGGTGTATTCTGCTCACCTTGCATGCGTTGTCAAATTGAATCACCTCTACGTGGTGATCTAACTGTCCGCTGGTGTAGTATCATACAAATGCCATCACATAAATGCATCACAGTCACCTGTGAGGACTCTTCTAATATCTTCTAAAAACTCACCTTTTTTATGAGGTGACCCCATGTCACCCTTTTTATGAGACAACCACATGCTAACCTGTGTTGGTTGGAAAGAATAAAAATTCTTATAAGGGACAGTAAGGCAGTAAGACAAGTGTTCTGATTAGGGTTTCCTCTCCTTTCAGAGTGTTTTATGTTTCTTGATCACAGGGTTGAGATAGTGTCTGACAGAGCACCAAGAATCTGGCTTTCAGCAGCTAATAATTCCAAATTTCTAGGGAATTTTGCACCTTTTTTCTCCAAGTCTAAGTGTATGTCTGACCGGAACTGTTTGAAAGTGTTCCTTTGACACTCAGAATCCTTTGAAAAATTATATGGGGAGACATGAAACCCCTAATAGCATATAGGCCACTATTACTGTTTCCTGACTGTCTCCATGTGGTTTATAGGAAAATACAGTTTTGAGTGTCACTCTGAGGGTCTGAGAGATTCAGCAGGTGGTGTGGGGGAACCCATCTGTCTCCAGATGAGATCTCAACAAGAAGTGAAAAAAAAATAAAGGGGGAGAGGGGGAGAAAAACTGTAGTAGTCCTAGAAACCATCTCAGTTCTTGTTACCTTCACTGTCCTGATTTCTTTGGGACAAGTATTTGTCTTGATCGTAGTCTTTTAGTCTGTTTCAGTGGGAATATTTCTGGTTTTCTGCAAGCCTAATTTCTTTTAGTAACCCTTAGACTCAAGAGCCTAAAACACTGGAACCAGCAGTGGATGGGTGTCTGTAAGAAATTCTACCTGCCCCTGCAAGCTGCCTCTCCTTTTTTCACTTTTTGGTTGTCTTGTTTAATTAACTTATTTCTTTAAATAAAGAGAATCTGTTCCCTGTTCCTAAAACACCAGTCTGAGAAAATGTAAAACATTTTATTTTAAATTGAAAACAAAAGAAGAGTTTCCTCTTTGAAATGAGACATGCTTCATCTTTCTGTGGTTCAGATGGTTTGTTCTGTTTTCTGTGAATTTGAAACTTCATACAGTGACTGGACTTTGGTTGAAATGTTGGTCCATTCTGAAGTCAAAAAAAGCACAGAGTCAGGGTATGCTGAAAAAAAGTCAGGGTAGCAGACCACTTTCAGGGCTCTCACTGTTGCTGTTAACTTAGTGAAACTTTTCACCTTAAAAAGGCAAAAGTCAAAGGTGAAGGATTCATCACTTTTTGCCTCACTTCTGCCTTGAGTAGGACAAAAGTAACACCCATGACGGTGTATCCGTGAGATACGATACTATAGTAATTCCCCAGTAGAGTTGGTTTTGCAAAGCTAAATATGCATGTGGTGAATAGCACATGAGATTCTTACTGCTGAAGAAAACAGAGCTGTCACTTGGGTGTGTTGCCAGTGCTGTCCTCGACTGTTCTCTGGGTGCTGTAAGAATCCAAACTGACAGCCTTCAGGTGTCCTTGTGTTGCACTTACCCACTCACTTGGCACAGGGAAAAATCAGTGCCAATTGTCAATAGTTTTGTTCTTTTTTTTAAATAAGAAGGATCTTTTAGAAGTATAACTGATGCTAGTTGTCCTTCTCCATGTCATCCAGCAATACACTGCTAACTGTAGCCAGTAAAAGCACTTACGCCAGCATAGGTTTGAACATTTCTTTCTTCCTTCAAATTAGAATTGTAGTTTTTCTTTCAAATCATGAAATTTTACCTTGCAGATCACCTAATGTTTCTGGCAAAAAAAAAAAAAAAAAAAAAAAGGAAATGCAGTTCAGCCAGTTTAGCAAAATTAATTTGTTTCTGGCTTCTAGTTGAACCAAAAGAATCTGGTGTTGACTGTTTCAGACACACAGAACAAGTTTGACAGTTCTGTATATTTGGCCTCATGTCAGGTCATCTTTCCTTTTAATGCTTTCTCCTCCATATTTGTATCTTCTCTTCAGGTAGCTTTGGCTTCAGCAGAGGCTCTACGGGACTTGCCTCTTCAAGGTTTTTTTTCAGTTTTTCTCGAGGTTGCGTATCTGTTAGAGCTGGTATATCAGTAATGCCAAAGTGATGCGTATCTGCAACCCCCCTCCACCCAGCATTAGTCACGAGCAAATTGATCAATTTGAATGTAAGCTTAATATGAATTGCTAATTATCTTGGTTCTCAAATGATTAACAAAGCAATTAATTTTTCTGGTTTTCAGACAAAGTGGACTCTGAATTGCTACAAGGTTACAGCAGGTACTTGCCGCATGACATTGTCATCGTGACTGTTAAAGTAGCCATACTGTTTGCTGTGCTTTTGACAGTCCCTCTAATCCATTTCCCAGTAAGTACTCCTAACCGTTTTGAAGCTGGCATAAGCGATGGTAACACTAATGCTTTGCAGACTGCAATATTTGAGTCGCATCTAGTCTTGTGTATCTTACTCACTTGTCAAGTGATTGATCAAAGACCACATATTTGCATATGTTCCATGAGCGCTCCAAAATAACAACTAACCGCTAAGCTAATTTGTGCTCTTGAGACAGATTTCAGATTAAAACTAGCCCGCGGCATTGTTTTTAATTTAGAGAATTCAGAACTTCTAAAGTTTATTTAGTTTGATTTTTTCCCCCCTCTTAAATTGAGTTTTGCTGACTTTGTTTTTCCGTTCTACATGCACGCACCAACACACTTATGCTTGAAAACTCAATTTAATTGTAAATTAAAAACACATATTGACCTATTTCACCAAAAACCCTCTACTTTAGTTTATCAGTACCAGGGTAGAACTGAAAATTCATTCAGTTACGACCAAAAAAATACGTGCATGCAAAACTGTGTGTACAGAAATAGTGTATAGATTACATATCAGTTGGCAGCGTGTTGACATTTGCTACCAAGCATGCTCAAAGAGACAAGGCATTATCCCCCAGACCTTCTTTTGTCCCTGCAAGAAAGCAGTACTTCCATTAAGACTAATGGCCACATGATAAATACTGCTTTAATACTGAAGTAAGCTCTGTGCTACCAAAAGACAAAAACTATTACTAAATTTTTTGCATTTTGATTTTTGAAATGTTCATTCATATCTGGAATGATGTAATTCTTAAGTTTATGAAATGGAGAGAAGATTAAAAGATATGTATATGTGTGTATTTACCCATGCAATGTTTCTCTTCATGTTACGCAGGCAAGGAAAGCTGTGCTGATGGTATTTTTCTCTCATCTTCCTGTGTCGTGGATGTGCCATATCCTTGTCACTTTAACACTGAATACCATTGTTGTTTTGTTTGCAATGTATGTGCCAGACATTAAAAATGTATTTGGAGTAGTTGGTAAGTTGTTGTGGCTGTTTGTTTGTTTGGGTTTTTTTAACTTTTCTTCAAAAAATTCAGTATTATGATAAGCTTATATACTTCAGTCTTGCTCTAAGTAAAGTCTTATTTTCTGTTTTTTAAAGGTTCAACCACATCCACATGTTTGCTTTTTGTATATCCTGGACTATTTTATCTTAAACTTAACAGAGAGGACTTTTTATCACCACAGAAACTTGGGGTATGCTTTTTTTCACTAGTGCTAATAGTATTTGTGTGCTAATTATATTTAAACAGGCTCTTTTTCGATGCATCTTAATACACGGTAGAGCATATAATCCAAGGGGCAATGTTCTCGTTTTCATTGCAGTTCACAAAACCTGTGAGCATTTTCTTTTTCCTTCACGGTAGCTCTAGTCTTTCTGAAACTCCTCCTTCGCAAGAGAGTTTTGACTAGCAGTATGCCCATGTGCCGGGCCGTTGATCTGAATACATGCTTTTCCCTATAGTTTTCAGATGTTGACTTTTAATCCAATTTCTCCTCAGTTTTTACACATTACTCTGATGTTGTCTGGGCAGTTGGGACAAAGACAAACTGCATTTAAGAGATGTAATGTTTATGCTTGTTTTCTGTGTAAGCCTTCTCAAAACCTTTTTTTTTTTTTTTTTTTTCCTTTTTTTTTCTCCCCCTCCTCTTTATGGTTTCTTTTTTGGTGTAGTAGGTTAAGTTCTAGTTGGAATTTGTGCAGCAGCCTGCTTTTTGCATGGTAACTGTCTTCATTTTAACCACTGCTCAGCAGAGCAACTTCATGATGGTAGCTAAAATGCTGACAGACTGTTTATACATAGTCCTCCTGCCATTCTTCTGATTCATAGGGCTGCTCTTGTATTGACAAAATAGGGAATCTGGGAGAAAATCTAATAATGCTGCTCTCTGACCATTTAAAGTCTTTACTAGTTCCAATGGATTTGGGACCTTGTTATAAATCAGCAATTTAGTGTCTCTTGAACTGTGGTTGTTTTATCATCTGGTTATTCAAAAATGTAAAGAATCCATTGCAACTTGAATTATATTTTGAGTAAAATACAAGTTGAGTTTCTCAATTAATTCAGAGTTGTAAAGGACAAATGATTTTATTTTTTTTTTGCAGATGGATAGTGTGAGCAAGCAAACCAGACTGCTCAGAGTTCCCAGTGAAACTACCCCAGAGCAGGCTTAGTGCAGTTTCCCCCTAAGCAGATACCTTGTGTTTGAAGACTGAGTAATTTTGAACATTAAAGATTATTTTAAAAGACATTATTTAAACCTGTTCTTACAGGTTTTTCCATCATTAGTTATAAGCCTTAGAAATGTAAAATGCTTCCTTCAGTAAATGATTAATTTTGCTTTTCTTTCTTCACAGGCATGTGCATTGGTTATTTTTGGCATTTGTGTTGGCCTTCTCAGTTTAGTTCTCATAATTTTCAATTGGATTGATCAATAACAGCCTATTGTCACTGTCTGAGCTGAGCTTCAGAAGGACGGCAAGAACTGGAGATGTGTGAAAACCACTGAAACGAATGCTGGACATTCTACAGAAAACACTGACCAGAGCTGTCTGTGGAAGAGACAACGCTCTTTTTCACTGCGTTGCTGATGTTCCTTCTTTAATCTTGAGTCACTCTTTTCAGTTATTGGACAATTAGTCTTTGCCATTCTAAAATATTAGGTTTTAATGATGTAATTATGACAGGTAAAAAGATCTCTTGCGAATTTTACAGTGCAAAAATGGGTTAGTGGTGAACAAAAGCAGAACCTTGAAATAACTTCTCTTTTAAAGACAACGAGATGGATAGATACTACATCAGTCATCACATGCATATCATGTGCATTTAGGACAGAGAAAGACTTCTGTTGCTTGAATAGTTTCCAGAATTTCAGCCAGTTCATATTAAGAACTTCCCGATTCCAAATGTTTACCCTAATTTATCCTAACATGGGTCCAGAAACCAACTGCCTTAGCCCAGTTTAATGGGCACATCATGATAATATGTGTTAATTGTTTTTTTAAATACAGTTTTTATACCTCAGTGTACTTGAATCATACTGAAGTAATTTTTAAATTAGGAGGCTTTGCCCATCTAGCATAATAGGTTTTAGTAGCATTAGGAAGTATTTCCATTTTGCAGTTAATAACAGAAATTTTTCATAATACCTGCTTTTGAATATTATTCAACGTACCTCAGTATTCCTCCCAGTGAAAGACTTCTTTTTCTCTCTTATTCCCATTTTTACAAGTTGAAATTTGAAATAGAGTGTTTCTGTATTTTATGTACTGTTGTGTGTTGGAGAAGGTTTGGGCTTGAAAGGTGAGATTCTGTCTCTGTCGAAGACACGGGAAGTTTTACATCTATGGAACCCTAATTTTACCTTGGATGTCTGTAAACCTCCATGTGCCCTTTTATAGTTCCCCCTTTTTTTTTTCCCCTAATTGAAATGTGAATGCAATTTTCAACACCAACTGGGCTCTGTTAAATATGGTATTGAGTGCCCACCACAAAAGTTCCTCATATTAATAGAATGTAGGCAGTGGCTGATATTGTGGTAAGGTTTTTAAAATTTGTTTCTATCAGATGAGATCTGATGTCTTTAAAATAGCCTAATCTCTTCAGAGACATTATGCCCTAAGGAAGCTAAGCCTCCACAGAAATGGCTTGTGTAAAGTTAAGAAATTAGACCTCAGCCTCAAATGGCAAGATTTAGAGAGTGGGAAAGTTCTTCATTATTTCCAGATGCAATGTTTCTTTTAATTTGGCTTAGCACTTTCACGTCTGAGAAGTGGAATAAGACACAAGTGAATCATAGCGAAGTAATACATTTATGGAACATGAAAGCAGCTAGTAAGTGACATTTGACTAAATTTTTCTGTCCATAAGGTGCAAATGGGTTAGCAAATCAGTTGCCTGTTGCTGGAAAGTCCTGTTGAGACAGTTTGGCTAATATGTTGACTTAGGTTTTATCAGTTGAGATACGGGAGATGCCCCGGAGCCTGGCATTTCTGACTTCTTCGCAGTGGATCTGAGCTATTAGCCTCTTTAACTATCTCACATTGGATTTGGAAAAGGCTGATTGATGTGCCAACGTTAACATAACCCTGACTAAATGTGCTTGATCCTCACCTGTCTCATAGGGAGGAGCAGCAGATAGCAGATTTGGAATCGCCTTCTCTATTCCTGATCTGATAAACTGGGATTTCTCATGCCAACAGATCACTCTGCTCTCTCAGGATCCAGAAGATACTTTTCATTTTTGATAGATGGCCTGAAGGCACCCAGGTGGTGCAACTTGGTACTGCTTCAGGAATCCTTTTTGCCTGGGGGAATATTCTTCTACTTATGAGTTTAATACAGAAATAGACATGTGTGGTGAGGTCTGGGAACTAAGTCAGAAGTTTTGGGAAAGGGAAAAGACTGCAGTTATTTTTATCATAAAGTTTCTAGCAGAGGTTTCAGGACACAAGGCGAGCCATCCGGTAGTTTGTCAGTACCAGAAACAGCATGTCTGCTTTTGGCCAGAAGTTCACAACTAGTTCTGTGGCACTGGCTGCGGATCCTGGTTGGCTTGTTTAACGAGCAGAAAACCAACGGGACCACAAGATGTGAGACATTATCTGCCCAAAAAATGAACAGAATGAGCTCACTTGGGGGACAAGAAAAGCGAGGGGGGTGGTAGGAGTGGGACCATCTTTCTGAGCAGCAGCAGCAGCCGTCAGGTAGCACATTTTCCTCATAAAACCTCCCCCTTTGCCCAGCAGTTTCAGTTCGGCAGTTAAAGTGTGTGTGAGCACACAGGGGATGCCTCTAACTTGAGAGGTCTCTGGCCTCCTTTGAGCAAGGGATGGACCAGACTTTCTCAGTGTGTGAGTATTAATGGTCGAGGCTCCCCATCGTGCCTTTATTCTTGCAGGGCTCCCGGCTTGGTTTAACTCTTGGTAACCAGATGTAGCTGCCTTCCTGCCTGTGGCCACCCTCTAGTAGCTGTGTTTCACAGCCTTTGTTATACTGTAGGGGTTCAGCCTCTCGGGGTATCTCTGGCAGTGGTGCCAACAGCTGAATGTTGACCTTATAAAAGTGTACCTTGAGAAAGCAATGCCAGCTGCGCTGTCAAAATCGGGAAGTGATTTTTCTATCCGACTGAACCAAAACTTCTTAGGACAACGGGAGACCTTGCATTCACGTGAATGAACTGTAGGGGTTTTTTTCAGACACTAGAATTTAGGAGAAATGTCTCTTAGAAATTTTATGGAAATTGTTTCTCATTTGTCATGCGCTCTTGTAGCCTACTGTTGAGTAATACTCGTAATCACTGCTGTCACTTTATTTTAAACTCTAACCAGCAAGACTTAGATTATCTGTGAAGGTGCGGAAAATTGGCAAAGTTTTGCTGAGCTTTTGCTCTTTCCTCCTTCCCCTGAAAAAGCTGAGTCTTGCCGTGCGCTGTAATGGTCTTTTTGTACACAGGCAGTTGGGTTTGTGTGCATCACCTTTACAAATGTGACTGAGAAAATACCTGAAACATGGTGTTAACTTTACAGTTGATTCCTGTAATGCTATGGAAATTGCTACGTTATTGGTTTTAATCCCTGGGTATTATCCTAACTAGCCTGGCTCTTGGCTAACTGTCTTAATAGGTAGACTTTGGAATGATGAATACCAGTGTATGAAGTTAATACTGGGCGAGGATGAATGGAAGCAATTCACACCTCTGCTGGAGCTCTATGATTACACTTTGGCTGCGGTGCAGAAAGGATAGCAGCACAGGGGGTTACAGAGTGTGTGTTATCTTTCATCTGAAAAAGAGTTAGAAATAGCAATGTTAAGTTTCTGTGATACAGAACTTAAAATATGGAGAGAGGGAGAGGGGCAGAGAGAGAAAGGGCTTCCATTTCCAAATTTAGAAAAAGGTATGAGTGTTTTCCAGAATGAAAAAGCAGAGTAAGGACACTACTTTTCTCCTTCACATCTCCCACAGGCTGTTCTCTTCACTGTGTGTAAGGGTTTCACTACAGTTGTGCACTTGCATGAATTTTTGGAGCAAAACAGGCCTTCGGTCTGGGACTCTGCTCACTCCTGTGTTGCTAAATATATTTTTTCTTTATTCTTACAGACAGATGTTTTTTCCCTGAATTTCCAGATTTATGAATTTTGATGGTTCTGCTTTATTACCTGTAGTTAGCATTTTCCAACCACCTTTTCTGAGGACTTGACAGGAATGGATGAAGGGGCCCCTTTGGAAAGGTGGCCTTTCCCCAGCTGAACCAGGACAATGTAAGAGATGAAAATTAATTGGTAGCCTTTGATTTGTTTTCTCTCATTCTCCTATTTCCATTCCTTGACCATTTGAAGGCTGCTCAAATTTCAGATGGACTGTGGTAAGCTGGGTGTGGAGAGTGTCTCTTGTAAACAGCATGGCAGGAGCGGGTGCTGCAGAACAAAAGCGCTCGAAACCTGCCTTTGTGTTTTGGCAAACGCTCGTGGTTTATTCCCACGTTTCTAAGCAGTTGGTGTCTTAATGTATTGGTTTTCATGGCAATAAGTTTGTTTAAAATTCTCTCTTTTGTCCCTGTATAGTGAAAATTGAGACACTGGGAAACTGTCCTGTCGTCTATCCCTCCTTTCACCTTCCCCTTCACTTCAGCTTTGCATTAATACCTGTTATGTGGTGCTGAGCAGGACTGTGCCATTACCTGAACGGTCCGGGTGATGGTTAGGGGGGTGCAGCCTGGGCAAGAGGGTATGGATCAGGGAAGGCACCGCTTTATCGATGCCCTGCAGGCCTGACTTTTACTCTGTCCACCACTCGTCTTTGTTGGCGGTCAGTGTTACCTGTAGCAGACCTTTCTGGTGTGCCCATTGCACCTGTTCTTGTAACAATTTGTCTTTTTGAAACATGGAGACATCTTAAGTTTGCTGATTCGGAGTTCTTAAATCATTTTTGTCACGTGTAAGGTGCTGTATTCCCTACCCTTGCAATCCCGATGGGGATGAAAACACAATGCTGCAACAGGATCTCTCTGACTGAGCTGCTAGGGCAAATGTTAAATCCTTCAGCAGCTCGTAAGAGTGTTTGTTTGCGTGAGAGAGAATATGGGCTTTTACTTTATTCCTGTATTGCTCATGCTGCACAAAGTATGGTTTTGGTACGGATCTGGAAGCCAGTGCTTCAAGAGCTGTAGTCCACGGAGGCTGCGAGGATGCAGGGGAGCTGTCGGTCCCCACTTGCCTGTTTTGAGGCTCCGTAGGTGTCTCCTCTGGACAGCAGCAGAGCAGGGTTACGGACCCACGTGGGTATTTTGCCTGACCCAGTATGGCCGGCCTCACTTCAAATAAACTCGTAAAATTAATCTTGAGGATTATTTGTGAAGAAGATGAAACAGTGTCATTAGCATCAGCCGATGCGCGTTCGGCATTACGTGTGGTAGGTGAGGACAGGAGCCCGTCTGTT